ATGATGGCTCGCACGAATGGTCGAATTGACTTGGTAGTAGAGTCAGCCAAACAGAACAAGAGTTTGCAGCGGATCCTGAAAGAACTGTACGAAGCTGGCCACAAAGCTGTTGAGCTACTGGGCGAAGATGGGGGAAGATATCCTTTTTACGTGTTATATCAAGGCCCGAAAGAGTCAACCAGTGTGCCAGTGGAGAACATCACATGGGGGTCTGACTTCGACGAGCTGGAGAAATCTCTCCGAGCTGCAGAAGCGAAAGGGAAAGCCGTGGACAAAGGAAACACGGGTGAGGAATCAAACAGGGTCGTTTTTTTCAACGAGCCCGAGCCGAAGATGATGCGTCATTTGAGACCTCTCTACATCAAGGCCACACTTGATGACGTACCAATGTCGAGGGTCTTGGTTGACAATGGTGCCGCAGTAAATGTGATGCCAACAAGGATGTTGAAGAAGTTGGGCAAGAGCACTAATGACCTGATCCCAACGGAAGTGTTTGTGACAAGTTTCAATGGCGGGTCCACTTCTGCCAGGGGAATCCTCCCAGTTGTCGTGGGAGTTGGATCACAGAAGCGGATGAGTGCTTTCTTTGTGGTGGATGGAATGATAAGTTACAACGCACTACTTGGGCGGGATTGGATCCACGCCAACAAGTGCGTTCCTTCATCATTGCATCAGTGTTTGATGCTCTGGAATGAAGATGGTATCGTTGAAGTGGTCCAGGCTGACACAAAGCCGTTTGCCGTTGGGGCCAACATGGCCGAAGCTTACCTGTACCATGGGGATTTTGGACCACTCGAAATCAGGAATGGGGATGGAGGAACGCCTAACGTCATAGTGTCAAGTGCACAGGTGTTGAGTAAGGCGTGCTTGGACCCATTGTCCGAAATCGTGAGACCATCGATGATCACATTGGATGGTCCACTGAAAGCTGATGAACAAGTCAATGATGAGTGAACCACCTCGAGAAAAGGTGGTGGAGGCCGAGATCACGGCCTTGCGGGAGAAGTTGGCCGTCTATCAATGTGAACAGAGGCTTGTCTGTATGGAGCCTGTCTTGATGGCCGACTGTGTTCCCGACGATGATGACTTGCCAACCAACGGCGAGGGTGTGAGTGACGAAGTGGAGAAGAAAAGCAACTTGGCTGCATGTGACATTTTAGAGGAGATCAACCTTGGCACGGAGGAGGATCCACGCCCAACCTTCATCAGTGCTGGTTTGCCAGAGTCTGACAGGTACGAGTTAATTGAATTCCTTAAAGAGTTTAAAGATTTCTTTGCATGGGATTATCATGAAATGCCTGGTCTCGATAGGAAATTAGTTGAACATAGACTTCCAATTAAAGAAGGGTATAAGACACATAGACAACCACCTAGGCGGTTTTCGCATGAAATCTTACCTGAAGTGAGAAAGGAAATTGAACGTTTAATGAAGGCTAAGTTTATCAGGACTGCTAGATATGTGTTGTGGTTGTCGAACATTGTGCCTGTTAGAAAGAAAAATGGCAAAATACGTGTTTGTGTGGATTTTAGAAATTTGAACAATGCTACGCCGAAAGATCTGTATCCCATGCCGGTGGCTGACATGTTGATCGATGCCGTAACCAGGCATGTCAGGTTTTCTTTCATGGACTGTTACTCGGGCTATAACCAGATATACATAGCCGAGGAGGATGTACACAAAACGGCGTTCCGGTGTCCAGGATCCATTGGCTGTTTCGAGTGGATCATGATGCCATTTGGGTTGGCCAACGCCGGGGCAACTTACCAACGAGCCATGAATGCAATATTTCATGACTTGATTGGCGAGCTTGTCGAAGTGTATGTGGACGACATCGTCGTCAAATCAAAGGTGACAAACCATCACCTTGCTCATTTGCGCAAAGCATTTTTGCGTATGCGTGTTCATAAGTTGAAATTAAATCCGCTCAAATGTGCGTTTGGTGTGAGTGCAGGAAATTTTCTTGGTTTTCTGGTAAACCAACGTGAAATTGAGGTAGATGGCAACAAAACAAAAGCCATCATCAATGCCGCACCACAATCCAGTAAAAAAGAGTTGCAACGTTTCCTCGGCCAGGTAAATTATATTCGAAGATTTATCTCGAATTGTGCTGGCCGGACCCAAGTGTTTTCCTCACTGCTGAAGTTGAAGAAGGAAGACAAGTTTGTATGGAGGGAAGAACATCAACGAGCGTTTGACGATATCAAGAGATACCTGGCGACTCCGCCGGTGATGAATTCTCCCAAAGCAGGGTTGCCGCTGAAGTTGTACTTGTCGGCCACGGACACTTCTGTGGCATGTTTGTTGGCTCAAGACAATGAAGCAGGCAATGAAGAAGCCATTTATTATCTAAGTAGGCTTCTGAACGAGGGTGAGAGAAAGTATTCCCCCATAGAGAAGTTATGTTTAGCATTGTACTTTTCTTGTACAAAGCTACGCTACTACCTGGTCCCTGTCCAGGTACAACTCATTTGCCAAACAGACTTGATTAAATACATGCTATCTCGGCCAATTATTCATGGCCGAATTGGCAAATGGACCTTGGCTCTGTCTGAATTTAATTTAGAGTATGTACCCCAACGAGCCATGAAAGGGCAAGCATTGGCGGACTTCTTGGCAGATCATCCCTGCATTGAGGTGCCAATCGATCTCGTAGAAGTCTGCGAGGTTGGGATAACGCCGTGGATCCTTTATTTTGATGGATCGAAAACTCGTGGCGGTGCTGGAGCTGGCGTGATGTTGAAAGCACCATCGGGCCGGGCCATGCATTTTACATTCTCGTTAGATTTTCCTTGCACCAACAACCAAGCTGAATATGAAGCTTTGGTAGTTGGGCTGGAAATGCTCATTGAGCTTGGAGTCCGCAACGTGGATGTTAAGGGAGATTCAAAATTGGTGGTTCATCAGGTCCGCGGCGATTTTCGCTGTATCAACAGTGTTCTAGAAACGTACTTGGATCACGTTTTGTCGTTGACAACCCACTTCGATAGTATGGCGATCAACTTTGTTCCCCGAATGGATAATAGCGAAGCCAACTATCTTGCACAAATGGCTTCGGGATTTAAAGAGTTTGCGAAAAGCAATGCCGTAGAACAGATAGTGGTTCAAACACTTAAGCCCCTGCGGGAGCGGTTGAGAGTCGAGCAGGTTTGCGTAATAGAGAAAGACGCCGACGACTGGCGTGCACCACTGTTGTCTTACTTGCAAGATCCAAACAAGGCTGTTGACCATGCCGTCAAGTTTAGAGCAAGGAGCTACGTAGTTTTGGATGAGACCTTGTATAAACGCATACCTGATGGGTTATTGTTGAAATGCTTGTGGGGGCAAGGAGGCATTGCAAGCCATGGCAGAGGTGCATGAAGGAATATGCGGAGCTCACCAAGCTGGTCCTTCCATGCGATGGAATCTACATCGCTATGGATTCTACTGGCCCACCATCGGGCCAGATTGTGCCGCATATGCCAAGGGCTGCGAAGCTTGTCAGCGTCACGGTCCTGTTCAAAGAGCACCGGCGGTTGATCTGAAGTTCATAATCAAACCAAGGCCATTTTATGGTTGGGCCATGGATTTGATTGGTATGATTTATCCCCCATCGTCAAAGAAACATGTGTTCATAATCTTGGCCACTAACTACTTCACTAAGTGGGTGGAGGCCAAACCGTTGAAGGTGGCGAACCAAGAGGAAGTGATTTCTTTCATACAAGAACATATTGTCCACCGATTTGGTTTGCCAGCAACGATAACGGCGGACCAAGGAACTGTGTTCACTGGGGGGCAAGTTATGGAATTCGCGGCGGAACGGGGGATAAAGATTATCCATTCCACGCCGTATTATGCACAAGCCAATGGGCAAGCAGAAGCATCCAACAAGGTCGTGAAAAATATTTTGACAAAGATGGTTGAGGATAATCCGCGACGTTGGCATGAAATTTTATCAGAAGCGTTGTGGGCATACAGGATGTCCCCGCGGAGCAGTACGAGAGTGAGTCCATTCTCGTTAACTTACGATCATGAAGCATTCCTTCCCGTGGAGGTGACCGTCAACTCACTCCGGTATATGAAGCAACACGAGTTAACACCTGAGGAGTATCATGAATCAATGATGCTGGAGCTCTGCAATCTTGATGAACTTCAACTCCGCGCCCTCGATAATGTTCAAGTACAGAAAGCAAGAGTGGCAAGAGCTTATAACAAGAAGGTTCGGCATAAATCATTCGAGGAGGGCGAATTGGTTTGGAAAGCTCACTTGCCGATTGGAGAAAAAGATCCCAAGTTTGGAAAATGGTCGCCGAATTGGCGTGGACCATTCGTGGTGCATGCTGTGCGTCCTAATGGAGCATACTTGCTGAAGGACTTAGATGGAGTGATGCATGAGCGTTTGATAAATGGCAAATATTTGAAGCCATACGTGCCGTCCCTATGGGACGCAGCTGGTCATTAGTCTGATAATGACGATCAACCATGTGCTAAAAGGGTGGGGCCTCGTCGGCCACCAAGCTCGCACAACGTGGTTGAATAGTACGGCAATGGCGAAGTAGGCAACAAATAAACTAATTCGCCAGCTTCGTTACCAATAAATAATTTTTTTTTAAATGCCTTTAAGACCAGCGGCAGGGTTCACTCGAGTCCAGCCGGTGCGGTACCGCTGTTTGGTACCAAAATGTTCCAACCTTATCAAACGAAGCTGTTTTTGCCACGAGAAGTAGGCATGGGTAACAGCGTTGTTGGGCATGGACGATTCGGTACTTGGCATAAGAAAAATCAAGAAGGCTATCGGGGCTAGAACTAGCCATTCAGCCATGCTCAAACACGGCCGTCGAGGTTAGAGCGACGTTACAGATTAAAGGAAAGAGAGCTGCCGTTTGCCAAAATTAGATAAACAATGATGAGCAAACAAAGTTGTTCATAGGTCGAGTTAACATGGCATATAAGAGTATGCAATCCGAGAAACGATGCCGAAACAAAAATCCAAGAAAATTCCGAAATGCAGAAAATAAGTTCTCTAGGAGTCGGACGGCTCGTAATCGGCGAGCTGCTGGGCAATGCGGGATAGAGTAGTGCGGACGCGAGTGAAAAAGTGTTGCGCTGCTTGCAGCTCAACCTGTGCTTCTATTTCCGCGTGAGTGGGGTCAGTGGCGATCCGGGCCGCTTCCTCACGTCGTATTTGTTCAACCCCTTTGACGAGGGTCGGCATGGTGCTTGCTTTAGCCACCTGCCGAGCTGGGTTCACGGCTTTCCCGCGTTCCACTAGGTCTTTACCCACTGTGCGGAGGAACGCCATGTCAGCATCACTCAGTGGTGGGATGTTAATGCTCAAGGTCTCCAGAGTTTTGCAGGCAGAGCCGGGCCATAATATGGTTTGGTCACTCATGGAAGTCACCAGAGGAATGCTAAGAAATTGGTCCATCATCTTCAATGCTTCTCTGACTCGGCGTCGAAGTTCAGCCATGGGTGACGCGGGGAGTGAGCTAGATGATTCCACCGCAGTATGGAGGCCGTACCCGGTATCAAAATCGTTGGTGCCCAGTTGCAAAAGGAAGCAAGGGTGTGAGTAGGAGGTTAGCCAAAGGATGGTTGGGTATTATGAGAAAGCATGAGTAAAGCTAACCTCGACGACAGGAGTGGTGCGAAGAGATGGAGGGGGGCGAGTAAGTGGATGATGACTCTCCACAACTGCAACAATTAAGGTTTCGAGAGGGGCGCGAACGCTTACATGAGTAGTGCGGGAGTTAAAATATGAATGTCACGACAAGCATAAAGAGGAGTGCGAGGACGAGGATCATACCTGCTCGCCGTTTCAAGTGAGTATTGAATGCTGACGTAGTTGAACCACCATCGTGGTCAGGAGCAAGCCGGGCGAGGATATCAGATAACGGCTTGCCGAAAATGCGGGATGCTAGTGGACTCCATGCATCCTTGAACTGGGGCGAGACTTTATTCACCACGTTTTTATGAGGAGGAAAGTATTGTGCAGATTCTTGGTAACCTCGTACCTCCATAATTTGTCCAGCGGTAAGCTCCGAAGAGCGGGTGTGGAATGCTGGAAAATTCAAGGACAGGGGAGGTAACATAGGCCATGCTTGAACGAGGTTGAATTGTCGAGCTGCAAGTTGAGGGTTGTACGTCTCAATATTGAGTACTTCTGAGCCGGTAGGGGCAAAGAGGAGGTCCCGAGCTGTTAGGTAGCGTTTGCGCTCCTCGATGAACTCATGGTAAGCAGCGACAGCGGGATCACCTCGCGGTGGTGGCTCGTCAAAAACGAGTTTGAACGAAGCGGGGCCGAATATCCGTTCCGCGAAAAGAGTGAAGCTGGGGATTCCTTTGACCCCATAAAAGAAGGTGAAATAATTAGCAAAATCCCCTTTTCGCGAAGCTGCTTTAGCCAAACAATGGCCATATGTGAGCATGGTGGTATCTTGAACTGCCGTTTGAAGAGCTGATAGAGGGCCGCGAGTCATTGGGAAATAAGCATGCAACCAAAGTTGTAGTAGCCATAAAGGGCCAACACTGAGGATGCTACCTTCGCTTGGAGCCTCCTTGACACGGTTCACGATAGTATACAGACCGCGATAGAGGTGGCAGAGCACAATTTCATCGAGATTGACACATTGGCCACTGAAGATTGCAGCAGTCGCATGCGCATCCATGTTGGGTTGTTGGGTGCAGAGCACGAATCGGCCAAACCAGTAATGGAGAAAGGCCACCCGCTCGTTGTCGGATACAGGTTCGCCAGGGGTGAAAGGTGCATTGCTGTTGTAGAGTGATTTGTAAGAGCGGCCGAAGACCATCAATGAAGTTGGATCCAAGGCTCTATTCGATTGCACACGCGGCTTTGATAGGCCGGTCAGGGCCGCTATGTCGAGCAGAGTGATCGTCATCGAGCCCAATGGGAGCACGAAACAGTTCGATTCCGTTGACCAGAAGCAGAAAGCGGCTTTGAGCAACTCGGGATCAGGGCTCGGAAGCTCTGAACATAGAGAGAGAAAGCGGTCGAGGCCTAATGCCTGCCATTGAGATACAGTTGCTGCATCATTGGCCAACCGACCATGCCAACGTTTAAAGTCCGGATCCGAAGTGGCCAATGCAGGGAATACTCGGGTCTTCCGTTTAAAGAGTGGGCTGATGACGGGGAGACGAAACAGAAGCTGAGATTCGTGAATTGGAAACACGTCCAATAGCTCCATGATGGCGGTGGTTCGGTCATGAATGAGTGGACCAAGCCATCCCTCCTCATTGTCGTCTCTCGATATTATCTCGAGAGTGAAATCAGCATTGGCCATGTTTCCCAGAAATTCCCGTCGTTCCCCTGGAGATAACGGGAGAAGAAACGTGACGAGGCTGCATACCAAGAAGTTAGTTGGGTTAGTGATGGTCATACATGCGGGGGTGGCTGCTCGCTAGACCTAAAACAGGCGTATAAACGGCTAGCAATGACAACGATTAAGGGGAGCGATACGGCTTCAATATCAATGAGAGCGCAAAACTTACTCGGTGATCGACGAAAAGCCTTGAAATGACATGGCGGTGACTTCAGCGGCGCAGAAATCTGAGGTACGGTTTTCTGCTCAGTGAATCGTTGTTGGTGGAAGTTTTGCTTTGTTTTTACTCGGATAAGTTTAGGGTTGGCACTCGTGACCTATTTATGGGGAATTGCCGCGGCGGAGTGGAAAGAAATAGTGTCCTTTTTGGTTTAGGATTACGACGTTGGAAGGGATTAGGAAAAGGATTCTACCCGCATCGGTTGGCGAGAAGAGGATTGCCACAAAATTTTGGTATTTAGTAAAGCAGCTTTGGGCCTAAACAGAATGTTCGCGGGCCGCTACAGTGTGAATCTGCCACGAGTAGAGTTGTTCCCCCAAAATCAACGCCGCGAGACTGGTTGTAAAAAAAAAAAAAAAAAAATATCAGCGCTGCCGCTGTTGCTAGCAGGCCTGAAAAGAAAAAAAAAAACAAAATTGTGCATGCAGCGCTGTTAGCTAGCAGATCTGATATAAAAAAAAAGAGGGCGCTCAGCGCTGGCTCCGTTGCTAGCAGCCATGAGAAAAAAAAAAATTCAGCTCTGCCGCTATTTCCAAACAGCTCTGGCGGAGAATATAAAAAAAAAACTGCCGCTAATGCAAAGTTGCAAAGAGGCCTGAACAAAAAATAAAAAAGTCTCAGTGCTGGCAGCCAAACAACCCCGAGGAAAAAAAAATATAGGCAGCGCTGGCGGAGAATAAAAAAAAAAAATTTAGCTCTGCCGCTGTTTCCAAGCAGCGCTGGCGGAGAGTAATGTAAAAAAAAAAAAATTTTTTTGCAGGCAGAGCTGCCGCTGGTGCTAGCAGCGCTGGTGAAAAAAAAAAAATTACTTGGTTGACAGCGGTGTAAACGCGGATGAGGAAATGAAAAAAAAATAAATAAATAAATAAATAAGAAATTCCTCTTGCCGTTGTTGTAGTAAGCTTTGGCGGAAAAGAAAAAACGGGCCAAGCAATATCGCGGCTGTAGCGGAAATTTAACAGGCCTGACAAAAAAAAAAAAAAATTTAATAGCCAGACCCGATCGGTTTGAGCTAAACAGGGTTGCAGTCCTGCGTAGCTGTTGCAACTCGCAACGAGACTGTTTCTTTGGCCTAAATAGCGTTGTCGAGCTAGCATTGCGGATTAATAATATGGTGAAATGCCATTGTTTGGAACGCCAAAGCAGTGCTGCGTTGTTAAGTCCGACCAGAACAATGGTGGTTACTGAAATATCAGTGCGAGTAGAGAAAATTTTTCGGCATCGATGATGAACTAAAATAGAAAAATTCCGATTGTTCAAGAGAGCAAACCGAGTGCAAAAGAAACATTAGCGGCCGCACGAGCATGTTTAAACAAAATAAATTCAGTTCGAAATAAATAGAGGCTGAAAGTAAATGTACGAGATACTAAAGCTACTAGCCATTGAGATGCTTGGCAATATAAGCTAGTTCCGCTCGCAAGGTGTCAAGACCGGTTCTTGCTGTTTGCCGAAGTTGAACGGCTTGCGCCTGCTTGATCTCATGCTTGTCATCGACCAAGGTTATCTCCTGCGCCGCTAGTGTCTGAGTTTCAACAGTGAGAGCTGTAATAGAGGCCTGAATTGCTGTGCATTGGGAGACATCTCCAGCCAGTTCTTTTTTCTTGGCATGCACGTCCGCCTCGAGTCTGATCAATTCGGCCTTCATCGCAGCAATTTTAAGTTCATCTGACAAAATTTCTTGTTCACGAGTTGCGCACTGCTGAGATCGAGCATCGTATTGAGAGGATAGATCCTTGAAGCGCGCGGTGTTGGCAACGAGTTGCGCCTTGATGGATTGAAGGGTCGATCCTCTTTCGGCACTGTTCTTTTCCAGCTCGAGAGCGTCGTGAGCACACTGTAGGTATTTTTGCGCAAGTTTTTGAGCTCGCTTGGCCGTAGTCGTCTCTTCTAGGCCAAGTCCAGGCAGGATTTCGGAAGCACCTAGTCCTCCCAATACAGAAAAAGCTGATTCAAGCTCGCTTGGTTGTGGAGGATTAACCGCTTCTTCTAAAGATAGAGAGAGAAATTGGGTAATCTTGACGATAGCATCTTTTATGGCTTGGGTTTGTGGATCAAGGTGGACCTCCGTGGAGAGTGGAGGTCGAGCTTTAGCCAAGGAGGCGAAGAACTGCCCTGCAGTCTCCAGGTCTGGATGCGCCTGCAAAACCAGAGAAAGAATGGTCAAAAAATGTCACCGCGAAGAAAGGATCACTATAAAGAAGGATGAGTAGTTAGGGTTACTGTCATTGCTGTGTTCGGTGAAGTAACACCGACGGTAGATGGAGCGGATCGGGAAATGTCGGTGAATGGAGACAATCGAGCTGCCAAGGAGGTGAAAGATGGTAGGGTTGTGCTAGCGGAGGAGGTGCGCGTAGCTGGCAAAACGAAGCTGGCGGGTCGGAGAGGTGAGATGGTCTGAGCAGTACTGGTGGTGTTTCTTGTGCCTGAAGAAGTAAGGGCAAGGCTAACAGGGGTGGCCAGCGGTGTCCGAGCTTGAATGGAGGGAGCAGGGGTGCCTTTGCGCTCGGCCGTCAGTAGTGGGCCAGAGTTCTTGTTCAACGGAGAATCAGACTCTGAATGACTAGCCTGTCCCGCAGGGCTGTTGCTGTCACGATCAGGAGTCAAATCTGTTAAGGTGTCCCCATCATCGTCGGAGTCAGCCTCGGATTCAATGCTCATGCTACCGGAGGTAGAGTCGTTTTCGTCATCGGATTCCTCATCCCCTTGATCCTACAAAGAAAGAGGGTTGCTTAAAAGGGCGCCTAGTCCAGGAAAGAAAAGCGGAAGCATGACAAGTATAGCTACGAGGTGATGACAAAACGAAGGGAATGCTATTGGTTTCTCAAGGGAAGCCGTGAAGAAGGAATTACCTCAAGAGGGGTGACCGGACGACTCTGTTTGGCAGGACGAGTATCACCAAGAAGTTTCCCACAAGCTGCGCGGGAAAGATAGCCGTGTAAATTGGCTAAAGAAGAGGCCCGCAGAGAGAAAAAATATATATAATAACCGAAATATGTAGTAGGTTACCATACATGCTCGGCGTTTGGCTGAATCCGGATGGGGAGATACATCGCCATCGTTATCGTCAGTTCCGTCGAGCCCGCACTGGGTGATGCGATTGATGACATTGGCCGTCGGTTCTTTGAAGTAACGAAACTCTTTAGTATTCCAGGCCAACCTATACGGCGATGTCACGGCACCCTTAGTTGCATTGAAGTGCTTGAATGCGTTGGGAAGCAAAAAGTCCCGGCAGGCTTCCACGTCCGCGATGCCCTGCGCAGGGAGTGATGCTATCCGAGTATACAGTCGTGGGTAATTCTTCGAGAAAGCAAGTGCAAGAGGCCATTGTTGCACCAATCCGAACTGGCGGGAAGAAAAGTGTGGGTTGTGGACCTCGATGCTGAGATCGACCGAAGCTCTAGGGGCAAAAAGCATGTCTCTAGCCACTATCCAACGAGCCCATTCTTCCATGTACCAGTTGTAATCGTTAAGCGAGCCATCCTCTCCTGTTGGTTTTTGGCTAAAAACGAGTTTGAAAGAGGGAGGTCCAAAAAACCGGGCCTCAAAAGGGGTGAAATTCTCTATACTTCTGGCCTTGTAGAAAATCGGGAAGTATATGGAGAAGTCCTTCTTTAGTGGAACAACTTTGGCATAATAATGGCCGTAGGATAGGATCCCGACATCGGAGAACATGTTGACGGGCGCTGGCAACGAACTTCGCACGGCGGGGAAGTAAGCATATAACCACAGCTGCACTAGCCAAAGGGGGCCTGCGCCGGTGACTTCCCTCTTCGCAGTGGCCCTTTTTATTTGTTTGACTGTCAAATACATGCCCCGTTAGAGATGACACAGTACGATCTCCGCAAGGTTGATGCATCTTCCAGAAGAAATCTCAGAGGAAGTCTCGGTGTCTTGCACGAGTTTGTTGCCGCCTCGACAAAGAATGAACTTATTTAGCCAGTAGTGAATGAAGTATGCTAGCTCCTTGTCCGTGACCGGTGCCGCGGGGTCCGCCGGGGAATTAGTGTTGTAAATAGAGCGATAGGAGCGATCAAAGTGACCGGGGTTCTAGCAACGGCGGGAGGTCGGCATCTCGAGAGACCGGTAAGTGCGACAAGATCCAGTAGGG